CTTAAAAACCGCGTTTCAAATAAAATCCTAGCTCATGTTTGCCTACCGTCTCATGCATTAGCAACTTCCGAGCATTCTGGGTCAACTGGCTGCTTTGAAACCGACCGATGTAACGAGAAAATGTGTAAATGCTAAGAGTCTTAACTGATAGTGGTTATTTGCTCGTTAAAGAGTGGGACAATTAAAAAACTTTAATACTGAATTAATATGTTAACCAGAAGTTAAATAACATAGTTATCAGTGACTGGCGTTATCTGCATTTGATAAAATATCTAATAGGTTGTTATTGATTGATTTTGAGTTTCTTTAATTTGACATTCACTTGTTTATGAGCATTTCCCGGGAAACGGGCAAAAATCCCATCAGTGGACCGATCAGAACGGCAAACATACATCGTTTTGAAGATTTAAACGTCTAAATAGACCTAAAAAAGACAAACTAATAAAATTTATATCATTACTCACTACAAATAAGCTAGGTAGGCTACCACCGGAAACAGGTTGGCCTTTTAGGAGTATAGGAGAATATTTATAGTCTGATCCGAGTCATGTTGAGACAAGTCTATTCCTGCTTCGTATCTTTATAAACGAAAAGGGGAAGCTGACGCAATTACTGGACCTGACTGGGTTTTATTTCCTTTAATGACAGACAGATTTTTTGATAATTGATTATGAGCTTTCGTCCGCGACTTCATTCGCGTGGAATTAAAAAAACAAAAGTGAGTAGCCTATTTGTTCTTCCAGACTGTCCTCTACATCAATACCAAATTTCATCGAGATCCGTTCAGCCGTTTAGGCTACAAACTCTAACAAACATCCATCCATCAAAACCTTCGCATTTATAATATTAGTATGATTGTCTGTTATCTTTATGTATAGAAAACTGAGAGTGTTAACTATTAGTTATTAATCCAGAACTAAATACTACTTGTAATATAAATGTTTATTACTTAAAATTACCAATGGTTATCCCATTGCTCATGAAATCATGAGGAATGCCAATATATTGTCTTAGAATAGTTTACAAAAAGCAAAAACTCTATATCTGACTCATAACACAAGGTTGATGAAAATAAAATATTTGAGTTAATTTACATATTGACAAAGATTTGAAGCCGGTACTGAAAACATATGTTCAATTGGTTTCGCAACGTGTTTGTTATGCTGTATTATAATTTGTAAAGAACGTATTGCGTCCTTCTAAATAAAAATACATAACAATAATTTTAACTTTTAACTTCAAGTAACTTGTATTCAATTTATATGAATAAGTTATACAAAGTCAACCTTGAATTACAAGTCTACATTGAGCTGTAACAACATTAGAAACGTTTATTCAAAAATACAATTAGTTACACAACTTCAAATAAAGTTTCTTAACGAAAAAAACTAACCTGCAACTTCTCGAATCCGAAATTATCCAATTTCATCATATATTTATTAGTTTCTAATACAACTCACATAAACTACTGCTTTTAATAATTATTACAACACTAGTTTTTAACACATTCATTCAGTTTTTTTTTTACATTTGCACTTGAAACTCACATAACGATAATAACAATGTTATAAGGGTTTTTTTATTCAATATTAAAATGCAAAAGGCTCAAGTGGTATGCGTCCACCGATGACGCGATCACGAGCCATATAACTTGTAAACTTGTAAGCTCGAAGCCACTTTATGTTGACAATTTCAAATAGGCAAAGTGCATGAGATATATCAAACTAACACATGACCGTTCAACTTAGCCGCGTTAACGGCCCGAATGCCGAAATGCAAATGAGAGTTTTGTTTATCCACAAGTTAGCGGAGGTATACGGTATGGCGTGAAGTATCGCTGCCGTATTGATCAAACTTCTTAGAATCCAGTTCACATACTTTTAAGTAGTTCAAGTGAATGTATCGTTATTCCCACTGTTATCCGAGAATCTACAACAGTAAGCTTTTATCCACCATTGTGTAGGTAGTGAGAAATTAAATTCACTACAGATAGAAGAATTGCAAATTTATTTGGAAGTCAAATCCGACACAGGTGGTAAAAAATAACAATGCGAATATAACAATATAGCGGTCAAGCAAAAACATTGCTGTCTTACATAGCAAGGTTTATTTAAAATTTGTTACGGAAATTATAAAGGCCGGTAATCTGCTTTTATAAAGCTCAGTTCTAACTGAACAGTCGAACTGTTTAGATCTGATGGCATATGGTTTAAAGGCAGATTGTCACCGAGCAATTTACTTGCTTGCTTTTACTTGCTTCGAAACCTTATTGGGTATCTAGTAGTTGCTTCACTTTCAAATCTCAGTAGCGGATTTTGTAATGTAGGTGTGTTATTGAAACGGCGGTTGGTACTGGACTGATTTATTATTAGTGACCGGACGGTACATTATATTAAGATACCCTCATATATACCACAGATTTCACTTAGATAGTCCACATTATATTACTAAACACATTTTGTGTAATAAAAAGGAGGATACAAATAAATTCAGTTTAAATGACATTTAATATACTGCTTGAAAACAAAAGGCCATACATTGGTCATCTAATACCGCGGCTAGCGGACAGTAACGCCCGGAATCGCATTCCAGTCCACTATGACAAAGGCTGTACCGGGCATACGGTATGCGTCTCGCTTACGTATTCAGTCTGCAATCCAATACGACAAAAAATGTACCATATAAAATGCGAGCCCATGACCTCTAACCCAAAGTGATAAAGTTCAAAATTCAATCACAGATTAGTATTTGTTGAAAATGTATATGTACAATGAACATTATCCTTTACTATGTTGAAGTATTGTAATTTTATTTGCCATTTAAATTATGACTTTATTTGTTTTAGCTTAAAGTTGAATCTATTATTCAAAAATATGTAATTGATATTGTATTGGGCATTGTATTTATTCTTTAGGTAACTCATGTTTAAAAAACATGACTAAATAAAAGGTAACGACAAAAATATTTGTATTCAGTACTTATGGTTTTCAAGTATTTAAGAAAAAATAAACATATCTAAGGATATTTAATAAACTAACATGTTTCACACTAGTCTGCATGATAAAACTTGATGTCTTTTTTGGTTACCCATCTCAGTAGGATAATAAAAATAATAAAAACCTCTTTATTGCCATCCAATAATATACACAGAGTTGTACAAAATAAAAAACATACATGAAAAAATTGTAACAGATGGCAAAAGGGGGAGGCTCAGCTTTACCGGTAATGGTTGAGATCCAGTGTCGGGCTGGTTTTCAGCCTCCCTACTACAACCAATACTATCTCGGTCATCCAAATTTTTGACTTTATTTCATCAACCTAAAGGTTAATCACAAAAAACATTTTATTTATTAGTTTTACTTTAATTTATATTATACTTACTTGAATGTAAACTAAGCGAAATAGGTTTAATGAATTTTTTTCATTAGGTCAAAGGTAGAGCTTAATAAAAAAAAAATTTAAAAGTTAAAAAAGTTTTTAATATCTTTAGAGTATTTGTTACAATTAATTAACAGTCTCATGTAGGATATCCCGACAAACTGGACAGATTAGATCCTGTAAATGTTAACATTTCATCTGGATTTGATTTTAATTTTTCTACTAACATTTGTCTATTAAATCTTAGTTCTCTTATATAGTCAAATCTTAGACCTCTAATTTTATTTATAACTCTTCTACGAAGTTTATTATCTGTGGCCGGGTTTCTGAGCATATTCTCTAAATCATTTAAGTTATCAGGTAATTCAACAGCATCTTTTTGTAATATTTCATGTTCATATTCAACATTTAACTTATTGTAGTCTACATGTACATCCGGAAAGCTCCTATGATTTCTTTCATGGTTTTTCACACAAATATGCCTGTCATATTTGACATCTTTTAATATTTCTTTACCTTCATCATCAAAAATAATCCTTTTGTTTTGTTCACATCTACATTCTTCTTTACCTTCGTAATTCTCGAAATAGGAAGACGTACCTTGAGGTTCAGTTAATAAATTCAATAAATGACCATACTTGTTTTCAATGTTTTTGATAACACTTTTGCATTTTCTATAAACTGTTCTTAATTCCTCCAGATCTTTTTTATTTATTTCATAACATTTCGAAGTGTGTTCGTTCTCTGAATTAGAGTGACTGTGTTTTCGTTTTCTGACTTTTAAAATTTTTTGTTCAGTAACCTCATCGTTATTTTCATCTTGAATTTCGGATGTGACTTGCGCATTTTTAAGCTCCCGAACATGATTCTTTATTACGACGTATTCTTCTGAAGCCAGATTTAATATTTTCGGATTTACACCTTCTAAGCGATCCTGCACGATCATAACAAACTTTTCAACTTTTGTAAGTTAACAATTAACAATGCACGTGATTAAAACTCAATTCAAGTAACGATAAAAGACGTTTGTAACTTTAATAACTTCAATTTAATATGACAATCGCACTATTGTTCTCTTACTAACTTGATAAACATTTTAAACAAACTTAAACGAAAACTATAACCTATTCGCATCATGGCAGATCTTTGACAGCGCTCGACAACATGGCGGAACAGATGACGTCATGATCGTTCTGAAACGCTTGCAATGTTACTTATCAACTTTTATTTGCCATTTTATTTTTATTTTTTACTCTTAATATTATATTAAAAAATCACGTAATTTTTAAGAATGATCAGTATATCTTCATTAACTTACATACAGATTTTATTACAGATATAGGCCTATTAAATTAAAGTTTTAAGTATTACACTAGATCATTATTGAAATGATAAATTATAATACATGATAACTAGTTTTTGCCCGCGTGGAACAAAAAAAAACAAAAAGTGAATGCATAGGTGTTCTTCCAGACTATCCTCTACATCTGTACCAAATTTCATCAAAATCCATTCAGCAGTTAAGACTACAAACTAACAAATATCCATCTATCCATATACATCCATCTAAACTTTCACATTTATAAAATTAGTATGATAGGAAGGAAACTAAACAACTTATTAAAAAAGTGCATATATTCAAAGGTCTTTATTTTTTCTCTTTTTCTTTTTCTTAGGCTTATTTACACTTACATCTACATCATTTTCTTCTATAGGAGCTTTATCTCGTTTTCGTTTTTTGCACTCTTTTTGTGTCTCATCATCAGATTCTTGAGGAGAGTTTTCAGCATTCCCTTTCTGTTTTTTCTTCAATATTTCAACTTGTGGTTCATCTTCAATCTTGTCACACAATTCATTATCAAGATCTTTAGACTTCTTTTTTTTCTTTTTCTTGGTTTTAGGTTGATTATCCAGATTTACCACATCTTCACCATTTTCTAGCCCGTTTACTAAGTCTCCATGACCAGTTGAGTTTTTATTTTCAGAGATAACTTCCTGATTTATAGTTCCTAGAAAACCTTGAAAACCACACCTCGGTTCATCCTCCCAGTCTAATTCTGGCTCAACATGCTTTGTTAATGATGTTTTATTCTTTGACTTTATAGCAGCCATTTTATTTTTAAAATAATCCTCCATACTTCCTTTTTCTGTAAACACTTGCTCTGTTGGTGTTGATTCCTCCACAACAGAAGTTTCAGTTACATCTTCTTGTTTAAAACTTTTCTTACCAAAGATATTAGCTAAATCTTTCTCGCTGTATCGAGACAAATCTTTTCCCCGAGTAAATTTGTGATAATGTATTCTTGCTTTACTCTTTTTTGATTTATCTTCAAGAGAAACTCCACTGTGCAGTTTAGGGCCATCATCATTCGCTAAAAACAATGTTTTTTAATTATATATTCCTACTAACAATTATAACATTTTCTTTATTTATTTTTATCACACAAGATAATTCGTTGTTTTACACTTAAGTGAATTTAATTTAGCAGATAATTAAATTCACTTACATTTATAAATACGTTTATATTTAAGTAATAAATTTTATCGCTTCTATTAATGTTTTTTTAATGAAATAAATAATGTCTAAATTAAAAACAAATATTTACCATTAGATAAATTCGCAAGTAATGAGTTAAAATCGTCCTCATGTTTGGTCCATTGATCATTTCTGTCTTCAAATCCTAGTCCCTTTTCATCATTTTTATATCGAGCCACAACATGCTCAACAATTCCATTTTCATTTGCACCTAAGCCTTTTCCAGAAGTCCAACCCATTTTCTCCAACATACGCTGACCGAATTTATTGGTATCATTACTCCACTCATTATTTTTAGCACGAAGATTTATAACTTTTTGTTTGCGGCGGGGACCCGCAAGCATGGCCATTGTTAATTTTTAAAAACTAAACCTAACATCGGCACGTGTTGATAACATGAATCAATAACTGTCAAAATGGACGATTGGACGACGTTTCATCAAGACGAAAACATTACAAACTTGAAACGAAAGAGAGGAATATATGCAAGCGCGCGCATTGGGTTGGCGGCACTGAGAACGTTCCGTTCTACATGTTTTACGTGACGCATAAGATATAACGCTGCGTCTTCACAGTCGGAACACCTGTATTACAACAAAATTCCATCGGTATGAAAAAAATAAGAGATTTTTTTTTTCATTTCTCGATTTTCTTATAAAGTTACAGTTAAAAATGCATACAGTGATACCGTAAACCCATCGCACTATTCCGTAAAGCATCATGAAGCATGATTGTTTTTCCTAGTATTGTTTTATTGTTCCATATATGTTTTTTTTGCTTATGTAGTAAACATAGTATATTTTACATGTTTTTTTATTTACATTATATTTATAGACTCTATTTGAGTATTTACTACAAAGCATTATTTTTATGATGTAAAAATAGATTTGAGAGGCATTCTGGTCACCAATTCAAATCTCACAGTCGTGTCTACTACTAATACTAATATTACTTACGATTATGTTAATTTTAACTTTAATGACAGAGCAAAATGTAATTTAATCTGCACAAAATTAGTCTGAATTGCGACGCAGTGGGCGTTACAACAATACGAACAAATGCCAGATGTTGCTTATCTTTATTGCACACGATAGCATTTAAAATTTATTCATGCATTTTAATTATAAAAATTTATAGTGGATACTCAAGGTCACGTAAAAATAACAAGTAATTTCTTGTATTATAACTGACCTGATTTTTTTTCTCTAATTATAAATTCGTACGCACGTTCCATTGCAAGTTTTTTTTTTAAATTTCGTACATACTGATTTTATCACAAATACCGGTTACATTTTAGGATTGTATTTGGTGTAAACTGCTAATGTAAAGAATTAGTGTTCTTTACATTAGCAGTTCTTACATAACTAACCTAAAAAGAGAAGCGACCTTTTAATGTTAACATTTGTGTCACTAATTTATTAAAATTAGAGACAATTTAAATAAAATGTAAAATTGACCGTTACACGCTGGATGTTTTTGAAATAAACTCTTGAGTATTTCACGGGTGTAGCTCGTAATCTCTTTGTTTGTTGTTTCCAAACGTCCGGTTATCACGACATTGGAGGAACGTGATGTTATTTTTTATAATCATTCACCGTGATGAGAAAATCGTCAGCTGTCTAACAGTGGATAAAAGAAAATCCTAATCGAGAGGCCAATGTACAAACTTAACAGGAATCTATACTCCTTGCTACTTGATAACTCATTAGTTATATAAATAAATAAAATAACGAGTACATCTTAACTTATTTTTAATTTTAAATAAAGTAATAAATAAATTTCTATGTTATTACAACAATAAATATCAACATTTTTTAAATATCTAAGTATATGGTATTCAACTTTTCCCAATGAAAACAATACGAAGAAACCTTGTAGGTGAGTTGTTTTCGGATGAAATTCGTTTAGTTTCGCTGTGATTTCGTCTTGATATAAATATGCAATTGGCTAACCATCAACCAGGTGTTCGTCGAGACCGGTTTTAAGAAAGTAAAAGTCTTATTTCAATAATTTTGATCGGACACAACCATAACGAAATTGATAATTTTGTACAACTTTCTTATACGATTTAACATAACCATAGACAGCTTCGGGTCTGACTTGCGTAAACATAACTGAACGTAGGAACTAGGTAAATTTTAAGAATAAAAGTACCGCGCTGTAGAATTGGCGCAACACTAGACTATTGGCACAAACGTCACATCTCTAACTGACAACTGTCAATGTCATTAAATTGATGGATATTCGCGCGCATTCCTGGCGGGTCCACTAGTTCAGAGCGTTAAATTAATATCGCTAGAAACAATTTTATTAATCGTTTAAAAGTAATCAAAACAATTTCCTTTGATCGAAAATGCTGTTTGATAAAAATCTAGTATATAATTTGTTTGGAAACATTGTAAAGTCACGCCTAATATTTTCGTAACTGATTACGAAATAGGTCTTATAATTTGTAACACTTGAGGTCAATATAGATAACTTGAAAGGCCAAGACAAGAACTACTGTTCCGCTGATAAGTTATCAGTCAATCCCCTGTCTAACACACATTGATTTGTCAAAAATATGATATTACTAGCTTTCTTCGCGACTTCGTCCGCGTTGAATTAAAAAAATCAAAAGTGAGTAAACCTATGTGTTCTTCCAGATTATCCTCTACATCTATACCAAATTTCATCGAAATCTGTTCAGCCGTTTAGGCTACAAACTCTAACAAACATCCATCCATCTAAACTTTCGCATTTATAATATTAGTAAGAAGTATGATTAGGATGATTCATTGATTGACCAGCAGTTCGTTTCCATCATGTAACATTTTTTTGCACCATTGTTAACTAATTTATTGATAACTGAACTATGAAGCTATTCCGTATATTGAAAACCTTAAGTTATTTGTATTTATCGCGTGCTCACAGCCAAACACAGACAATAAAACCTCTTTGTATTGTTTCAAAGATCAAAAATTAGATGAATATCCAGATGTTTTAAGCACGTCATCTTCGAAATCTCGTACGAAGACTGCGTATGATTTTAATTAAAGTGTTACGTTAACGAGTACCAAAGAAGGCGATACAGTTTTCATTGACTGTCCAATGAGGCAGTCAGACGAAGAACCGGTCGTTAGGAAAGCTCGCAGGAAAACGAGGCTACTGAACTTTGTATTTAATAAATCACACGTTACGGGACTGATGTCGCTCTTCCACTTCATGCTGTAATAGACATAATTGCTATAAGAGTCGACTAGCTACAATTCATCTCCAGAGACCTCTCTCTAGAATGTCTCTTAAAAATACAATTAAAAATCAATCTGGTAGGAGCTATGCCAAAAGGTTTGTTTTCTACACGCAAAGGAAATGACTTGCGAGATCAAATTGTATGAGTCATAGAATTCAGAGAAGTTTTGCATTTTTATTTACCCTTTACCTGGGTCAGTAATATTGTAACGCGTTTTTGATATTCGTCCTTTATTCAAAGAGATAAAATGAAAAGCAAAGCATAATTAGAAGGACTTAACGGTGTATCTCGGAGGCTGAACGCCTGTGCCCGAGGCCAACAAAAATAAAACAAAATTATTGGCGGCCCGACCGCTTTGCCGACGACAGCTGCGAATTGGCGCGAAACAGGTTTCGGCGGGAATGGTGACGTCATCTGACATGTGCCTTCTCCGATTTTGGACATTGGCTGTGTAAAAAATATGAACTTTTTCATAATTCAAGGATCCATATTCAATTTTACAGCTGTTTATTAAAATTGTACACAGTTTTCGATAAATTCTCTGAACAATATCCCTCTCATTGTATTATTACGGCCATAGACAACTAACAAAAACCGACTTCCAAACAAAATACACGAAAAACAAAACAAAATGCACTAAAAACAAAACAAAATACACCAAAAACAATAAATTTAAA